AGCCTGGGTTCGCGAGGAACCCAGCTCACGGGTTCGTGACAAACCCAGGTCTTGGGTTTGCGACGTCTGTGAAATCTCTGGCCATAAATTTGTATCTTTGTAGGCAATCGTTCGCCACCATGAACTGATTGTGGTAGTACCCATCAAACCTCTCCTGATCCCTTATGTCCTGCAGCGTCACGTACCCCAGCTCAACAGAAAGATAGTAAAGTGTAATGAGATACTATTTCTCAATAAAGATATATGAATATTCATTTTTAACAATTGTTATTTCTGCAGCCGGAAAATTACCAAAGAACAACAGGATTTCATGGAGAGGGGACTCAGGGCTGTCGGACGGCATCAACGACACCAACTTCTTCAAGGCGGGACTGGTCGGAGGCTACTACGATGCCGGAGACAACACAAAATTCCATTTCCCCATGTCATTCGCCATGACAATGCTCAGCTGGAGCGTGATTGAGTACGACCAAAAGTACCGGAGCAACGGCGTACGACCACATTCGGGAACTCATCAAATGTGCACCGATTACCTCCTCCTCACCTTCAATTCCTCCGCCACCAAGATCGACAGTATCTACAGTCAGGTCGGAGGGTCTCAGAACGGCAGCAGAATCCCAGATGACCATACTTGCTGGATGCGACCGGAGGACATGGATTATAAACGACCCGTCCAGATCGCGAACGCTGGGTCAGATCTTGCCGGCGAGATGGCTGCGACGCTAGCGGCGGCCTCAATCGTGTTCCGCGACAACGATGCTTACTCAAAAAAGCTAATCAAGGGAGCTGAGACGTTGTTCGCCTTTGCCAGGGATCCCGGCCGCCGGAGAAGGTACTCCGTCGGAAACTCTTTCATCGAACCATATTACAATTCTTGCGGGTACTACGACGAGTACATGTGGGGTGCGGCGTGGCTGTATTACGCCACCGACAACAACACCTACATTTCGATCCATCTGTTGATTCGATCCATCTGTGGAGGTATTACGCCACCGTCACGAACCCGTGAGCTGGGTTCCTCGCGAACCCAGGCTCTTGGGTTCTCCTGGAGGTAAAAAAAAAAAAAGAAAAAAAAAAGGCTGGAGGAAGGAGAAACCGGGGAAGAAGATAAGGGTATATTAGTAATTAAAGGTAAAAAATTTAACATGTCATCATTTTTGCCACGTGGATTTTCCACGTAATTTAGTTCAAAAAAAAGAATGAGTGTTTCCGTTAATTAACCTGCCACATCAACCAAAATTTAACGGAGGGACTAAAAAGGGGCCGGATTTGTGAACAGTAAGGACTAAAAAGGGGATTTTTTCGGTATAGGGACCAAAAAAGGGCTTTTTCCTATAGTAGAGGGACCAAAAAGGGTATTTAACCTATTTTTATTAGGGATT